TGCGAGTTGCGACCTGGAAGTTGCAACTTAATTGGACCGGACCTGAAATTTCTTCTTCGTTCCAACAAGAGAATGGAAACCAGCACGTACCATGGACCGGCGAACAGTGACCAAAGGAAAACAAATTTATTTACCACGGCCGGCGTACGGCACGGGATTAGTCGATCGATCGAGCAAGCAGCCGAGGCAAAACATAAAAACAATCAATCATTTGAATGAAAAAAATTGTAAGCAGGAGAAGACACGGGCTCGGCAATTAATCGGCCTGTATACTTGGATATATAATTATTATATGTTGCCTACGTGAACAAGACTTTACGAGAACCTTATCTTCTTCAGCTATAACTGAACAAGACTGTACGACCTAGCACCAGTTCTACTGACTCAACTCCAGCACAAACACCGCCTCTGTCCATCGCCATTTTGCCGAAACTAACAAGGCAAACATTTGGGCCATCATCTGTGGGGAAGATGTATCTGCAATAGGATGGGCGGAGTGCATGTAGTGCCTGCGGAAAGCCCCACGGATTCACAAGCGTGAGTGAACAACTCGAGGGACGACGGCGAGCATTTTTGTTTCAGTGTATCAAACCGGTCGGTCCATCAGGGTTGGCGGTTGAGGGGGGAATCAAACCGATCTCTTCAGCAATACCCAACTTCTTTTTCGCATAATCATAATAGGTCTTGGGTTTCGTAACCTCAAAATATAGTAAATTTAGCTTCCACATCAGCAAAATAAAGCGAATTTCAACAGACCGTGCATTAAAAGCTAGAAAGAATTGAGGCACATCAAACATCTTGGCAAGAAAAAGAAGCCACTCACAATCTTTTTAACGGTATCCTTGATCAACTGATTAACATCATGGCCTTCCTGAGCCTACAAGCAAACACAAATTGCTTTAGTGCGAACAAACAATCCCAATTAGACCTTGACCTCAGAAAATGAAGGTTACCTTCTCAACAATGCGATCCAAGTGGGGCTTATACTGGACAACCAACATACAAAAGAATTAGCCACACATTAAATTTTCTTTTTGGGGCCGAGAGCAGAACCAAAAAGCTAGCTAGCTAGCTAGAGATATGAAGTGACAAAATGTGCGGAGAAATGCAACCTACACGCTCTTTGATCGGACGTAGATTTGGTTCAAACTCAGCTCTGTAGGGAAAAATGAAAATGGTATTGCCTTTCCTGTGGACCTGCCTTAAGGCATCCTCGAAATTCATCTAAGCGGTGTTCAGAAAAACCAATGTCTTTGTCATTAAGCATGTAAAGCTGGAACGAATAAGGGGGCGAAACACAACCCCTCCTCCCTAGTTTAGCGTATTCAGGCAAGAACCAAATCTTTTGCTCGGCAGCCAGCTGCCACATGTCAAAAAGGAAACCAATATAGTATTTATCCCTAGCATAATGAAGCCACATGCGATGCACGAATTCCTGAAAAAAATATAAGACTATCAAACACCGTTGTAATTTGCAGTGCCAAGTAAATTGACAAGTGACGGAAGGGCATTACAGTTAAGCCTGAGCAAATTAAATACTTATAAACATGGGGATAGCCTCGTGTGATTTTCAGTCCATGTTAAAACAACAGCTTCCAATGGCCTAGCTCCTAGACATTGAAACACGCTTTAGGATCTGGCACGCAAGGCCACCGCATCAAATACATACAGTTAACCTATTAACCACAAGAGAATTTTAGGAATGCTTACCTTACGGGACCTGCGTGTAAAATACAATTCAATCAACTGCACACGACAAGAAGGCAAATCAGAACATGATGAGAAATAATGAGCAGAAGTTTACAATCGATCACATCGTGCACACCTCGGTTTTACTCAACAACTCTTCCCAGAACTGGACAAATTCTTGGTCGCCCTCGAGGGTACTACATGTTTTGTGGTAGTATCCCCAGTCTTCAAATTCACCCTGCACAATGAAAAAAATTATGAGTAGCACATTCATTGCTAGCTACATACAGTATATGTGCCATGAAGAGCAGCTCTGCAACCAATGCTAACCTATGACTAACATGTATTGTTCTTTTCTAGATTTCCTACTGCACGAACTCAGCCATTTGATCAGTTCAAGTGGGCACATAGAGCAAAAAGTCATTGCAAGGACTAGAGACATGTAAGCAAGGTACCAATGACCAATCTAGGCCATGACTGGAGATTAAGTAACAGACTTCTACAAGCGGAGCCTACAATATCCTTGCAGACGTCTACTACAAGTCTTTACATAGCTCACCTTTAGCAACAATTAAATCCATTTCTAAACCGCACGAAGGTTTATAGTTTAGAAGGATGTGTTATACAGTTATGTGGCACTCTGCAAGGACTGTTATATATCTATTTACATGGTTTGTAAACAAAGTAGGGAGATAACGGTGCACAGATTTCAGAAACAGTAGGGGCAATGCCTGGCCACGCCATCACTCAGCTTCAGCACAATTGTGCGTTATAATGTAGTACGTAATAGTTTACAGCACACAGCACCTTATACTAAGGAATACAATCTTTGAACAACGAACCACTGAAATAGAGAAAGCAGTTTATACTAAGGAATACAATCTTTGAACAATGAACCACTGAAATAGTTGCATGGGTCCAAGTGTTCGTTACCTACATTATCCGGAAGCATGAGCCGCTGATAGTCCTGCAAGTGAACGTACTTGCAGCACTCAGGATCAAAGCCCCACTGAAAGTTGTGCTGGTAATACTTATAGTACCAATTGTCCTCCAGATGGGCGGGCGGGAACAGCGCTAAGAGTCTCGCATTGTCCTCCAGAAAGTTGTTGTAAGTTTGTAACATGATATCTTGCCACACATATGTATGCTGTGGTAGTGATGACAAGGCACCTCGTGAGCTCTGATGCGGCACAGCGCGAGGCGTTGGTTGAGCGCCTTGAGCTGCTGCTCGTCGCACCAGGCCGGTGACTCGTCGTCGTTGTCGTCGTCTTCAGGTGCAGGGGGACCGCCGTTCAACCGCTCGAAAAGAGAAATGAACTCCCTTTGGAGCCTGTCGTTGTCCCAGTCAAGGCCTTCGATCTGCTCTTGTCCGCCGGGAGAAAGGCCGGTGTCCACCTTGCCGAGATCCCCGGGAGCGGGTGCGCTTTGGATCTTTGCCCTCTTTTCACCGGTCCATTCAGAGGCTTCGCCGGATCCAAACCCTAGCCTCTCCTGCGGGTACGATTCGATCCGAGAGAATGGTTTGTCGAAGAAGCCGATGATCGATTTGGTGGAGATCCATGTACCTCTCTTGCTGGGCCGTATTCTCGTCCAGGCCGCGAGGCGGCAGAACTGCCGCGGCCCGCTGTGAGTCAGTCACCCACACCGCCCCTTCTTCATCCTCTTCTCCGGCGGTTCTCCCAAACGCCGCGGTCCCGTCCTGCCCGGCGGGTCGTCGGAGGGTTCGACGCCGCGGTCCCGTCCCGTCCATGCAGGTTCCGCGACCCCCTCCTCCTCGCCAGTGCCAGTCCCAGCCCCGCCGCCGCCGCCGCCTCGTCCACTCCACCTCTAAAACCCGCCGCGGCGGAGCTCCAGAAGTGCCGTCAGGTGGGTGCCCGCGAGCTCCTCTCACCTCTGTTTCGGTTCGATTTCCGGAGCTTATGTGGGGTTAATCGATTCCCTAAGTTTGTCTCTGCCGGGTTTGGGGGAATTTTCCGGCTCGACGTCCAAGCAAACATCGACCAGGTGTGGATTAGCAAATTCACAGTGTCAAATCTGTATAGTATATACTTGACCGCTGTTGTTCATTCAACCTGACATGGGAGCTCTGAATTTCGTGCGGATGCTATTGCAGGGGACATCATACTTGGCTGATGAGCAACAGAAGAAGGGTAGCATTTGGGAGCTCTTCAGCGAGGCTCAGTCGGAGTAACTTTACTAACCAGTATCTGAAGTTCCAAACCAAAATGAAAACAAACAACGAAGTCCAAAAGACTGTACAGAAGAACTAGGCTACGACAGAAGCTCGTACTATGGAGCAATGTATGCTTTCACATCAGTTGATTGACAATTATGTTGTAACTTATGGCCCTGGGCTTTTATTTACTTGTAACCAGGCAATCTTTCCGTCATGACCACCACAATACAGCTATGTCCGAGTACATCACCTCTACATATGGAGACATATGTCTCTTTCTCAAGCTCTCGCCGACATAGTAAGTTCACAATCTCCAGGGGACTAGCCGCTGTTTTGACAGAACAGGGTACTAGCTTTCATGTCACTGTGCTGTATGTTGCTGATTATGTGCGACTGATCATCTCTGCAAGAATCAAGAAAGTGAAGTTCTGAACCATCAGCATAAACCAAGTTTGCAATTACAAAACTGGGAAGCAAAATCTATATATCTGAATAAGCTATATTCTGAACTTATTTGCTCTGAACATAGCCACCATAGGCCAGTCTAGGGCATATCTAACACAATTTGCTCTCCATTGTGCAGAATAATGACCGTTCAGGTGGGATTTGTGGATTAAGGACGCAATAGCAAATGGTTTATCATGGGACACTCAAGTGCTATGACATACATTGGAAAGTTTATTCCTTTATAAGGAAGCTCTGACATCAGGAAAGTTCATGAGACACCACCCCTCCAAACAAAAAAAGGTACATCTTAATATCTTATAAAAAATGAAGTGAAGTATTTTTTTTCTGTTGTAGTTGCCTATTCAATAAGTGGATAAAAGATGAGTTGCAAATCCCTTGTATAAGTTTTGTAATCTTTCCATCCTAATAAATTATTGCGGGTTCTCTTTACATTCTATTGCTTTTAACATCTTTTTAATAAAAAGAAGAGAAAAGAAAAGCATCAACCAACTAATGGGCATATTTGCGTATTATGATTTAGATCAATTCTAATATTTAACTGAATTTTACAACCTGTGAGGGGTTTAGTTCACCTTTCTGCAACCACCATATGTGCATATGTTTCTTACATCCGAAAAAACTCATATCTGAAAGGATATGCAGAAAAGATGGAACAAAATATTTTGATCTACAAGCTATAGCTGTATGTACTGCTTGCTTCAAAATCAAGGACGCAATCTTGTGTGAACTTGTAATTGGCATTCCGTGGTTCCATAGCAAGCAAACTCTGTTCCTCCTCTGGATTGGCATCTGCTTGAGCCCACGGGTGGCTGTGGTATCTCCTCAGCATCTCCAACGTCTCTGCAACCTCCTTCATTGTCGGCCGCTCCTCCCCACTCATGTTCAAGCATCTCACAACCAGGTGTGTGATCTCTTCGAGCGCTTCAATTCTCATCTCGTCCCTCACTTGGCTGTCCAGAAGGTCTTGGTGCTGGCCTACCTTCACTGCCATCATGAAGCATAAAACAAGGCTTCTATCTTCCTCCGGCCCATCGAAGTACAGTGCCTTCTTCCTTGTCAGAAGCTCCAATAGGACGACACCAAAGCTGTACACATCACTCTTATCAGTCAGCCGGCATGTCATTAGATATTCCGGGTCAAGGTAACCGCAAGTTCCCTGCACCAACGTTGCCATCTTGGCCTCATCAGTTGGTGCCAGTTTTGATGCTCCGAAATCTGAAACTTTTGCTGTGAGCTTGTGATCCAACAGAATGTTTGCCGTCTTGACATCTCCATGGAGAATCGGCGGCGAGGCTGAAGAGTGCATGTATGCCAGTGCCTCGGCTGACTCTACTGCTATCCGAAGACATGTGTCGAGGGCTGCGTCAGAGTCAAGGCCCTTACTGCCATGGATGTAGTGGTAAAGGGTACCATTTGAGACGAACTCGTAGACCAGCATGGGCACTTCCACTTCAAGGCAGCACCCGAGCAGCTTGACGACATTCCTGTGGTTTATCTGGGAGAGGATGAACATCTCCCTCGCGAATTCTGTGGTCGGGGCTTCTTCCATCATCTTTGACTTCTTGATCGCCACTACTGTCTTGTCCTCAAGTACACCCTTGTAGACAATGCCGTGCCCGCCGTGGCCAAGAACTTGGTCGGCGGCAAACTCGTTGGTTGCTTTCTCCAACTCCTCCTTGGAAAAGATCTCGAACCCACCAGTGCCTTTGCTGGTGCCATTGTAGTTACGTATCTGCTGCTGCAGGAAGAGGCCTCCATTTACCTCAAAGAACTTCTGCTTTGTTCTGATAAGCTTCCTCTTCTGGAGCCCCAAGTAGAGCCAGAAGGACATGAAAAATGGCAAGAACACTCCAAGGCTGACTCCTGAGTACGATGTTGCATAGCCATTAGTTTTCCAGCACTAAAATTGCAGGAGCAACCAAAGGGGCAAAAATTGCAGGATTATCTGTTTACCTGTAACTACTTTCAGGGCTAAAGTGAAACTGTCCTTTGGTCGGCAACCATCCTTCCTGGTGGCATCTCCACTTGTCCCAGGAGGACATTGGCAAGTGTAGCTTCCCGGCGTATTTGTGCAGGCCCCGTGGCATGTGTGTTTTCCTTTGCGTTCACACTCGTTGATGTCTTCAGGCAAAAAACTTGTCAGAACATCAGACAAAATGGCAGAAGGATAGCAGACGTTTAAGAAAATATTTAAGTGTTCCAGTTGTAGCAAGATTTATACTGTGAATACCTTTGCATCCATCGTCTAGATAGGGGTTGCCCTCATACCCCTTGGAGCAGTTGCACCGGTACCCTGTGCTGTTTTTGGAGTTGACGCAATGGCTGAGCATGCTCCGGCACGCGTAGTCGGTTGCATTGCGCTTGGCAGCTTTGCAGTTGCGAACGTTCCAGACTGCCCAGTCGAGCACGACGGGCACGGCGAAGTCATCAGTCCGGTTGAGGCTCCCACCGGTGTATTTGGTATTCAACCATTCCGCCTCCACCAAGAACACGTACCGGCAGGTCGTGCTGTTGCTATAGAAGATTGGGTCTGTCTGCTCCTTTGGGATGTCGAGCAGGTATGGCTCGAAGTAGTCCACAGCAGCGGGTATCCCGCTCTGGCAGCAGGCGACGCCTGTGCATGAACCTGGCAAGGTGAACTTTGACGGACCACACACGCTCATGCAACCACTGACGTAGTAGCCAGCAGTGTCGACGAAGTAACCGAGGTTGGGGCAGCCAAGCGCGACGAGGCGGTTCCTCGCCTGGGAGAAGAGGAGGTGTGTTATGACCGGCCAGGTTTATGGCCGAAGGAGGCCCATCAGGCAGGCTTAGGCCCGCAAGTTATCTTAGTTTTTATTTTCAGATTATGGTTATATATACGAGCTGTAAGACTATTTTGAGAATTAAGCAATAAGACTATTCCTATTGCCCGGCTCCCAGAGGAGCCGGAAACCCTAAACCCTAGCCGCCTCCTTCTCTCGCCGCCGCCGCACCACGCCAGGACGGCGCCTCGTCGCCGGCCGCCGCGCTCAAGCCCTCACCCTTCCCCTTCCATTCCCTACTGTCTCCGGCCAAGACCGGGCAGCACCCTAGCCGCTAACAAGGTGGCTGTTGATGAGTGGCACGGGCGTGGCGCCATTACGGCTGATGATGCTCCCGCTGCTGTTGTAGCAGTGGCGTGTCACGTTGATGTAGGCCCAGGCCTCCCCGGTCCCAATGGATAGGTTGGTGATCTGGACGCCATAGCCAGTTACGGCAAGCCACGGGACCGGGAGGGAGTCATCACACTCAAGCTGGAAACCACCTCGGCCATCGTCGCGGTAGCAACCGGCACCGATGCCGAAGGGGTAGGGGATCGTGATGTTGCCACACTTGTCCTGGCAGCCTGGCCGCACAACCTGCCGAGGCGGCTGCTGCTCCTCCTGAGCTGAGGCTTGTGTCACTGACAGTAGCAACAGCAGCACGAGCTGTACAACCAGTGTGGTTGCCATTCTTGCTAAGCTGCTCTGCTCAGAGACTTCTGAGGAAGTGGGAAGTGTCAGTTGCTGAAGAATCATGGGAGTCCATATATGCGCAGGGATGCTGAACAATCTGTTCACTAGCTAGGACTGGGTCAATTGCCCAGTACTAGTTAATGATGTTCTGTTATGCTTTATCTAGAGTGCTGATGGTGACGACGGCGACCAGAGCTACGCCATTTAGCCAATGGCGGAACTTGTTTAACCAGGCAGCTCTTGGCAGAGCCATACATGTCGCCACATGTCAGTACAAAGAGTTTCTGATGGTTATTCTAAAATTTTGTCATGTATGCCTACATGAGAAGAGAACTTTAGGCCTGTTAATGCTAGTGGAGACTAAAGTGGTAAATTGCACTGCCGGCAATCATTGGCTCTTTCGTTGTCCATGTAATTTAGTTGACCAAGCTTACTACGGCCACCTGATCCAATCCAGCACGTGAGACATAACTGGAGACAAAAACTAGCATCGCCGTTTAGTTTGCTGTGAGAATATTTTCTGTTGGAACTTCTTCTTTTGAGAATCTTCCTTGTTCAGTAAGTTCGTTGTACAGAATATTTTCTGTACATTGCCTGTAAATATAACCTCAGGTCTAAATAATACCGTACACTCACTTAACCTTTTGGTAAGAAGAACATTTGTTGCATAAACCTCATGTTTCTTTTTACTGACCTGGACAGAAAAATGAACACGGACCCCTACCTGTCAGCAAGCAGAACTATTCTGCCCCTCTGAGTCTCTGATCCCGTAGAGGAACTCTTCTTTAGATTCACCACCTCTATTCACAGCAGTGACGAACCTTTCTGCCTGCCAGCCGGAGGCAAAGCAGTCTAGCCTTTAATGGAGCGTTGGTGCCGAAGCTCCCCGTCTCTGGTAAATCAAAGCTGCATGGATCAACTGGCGGAGGCTATCTTAATTTATAGGCATTTTCTGGTGGCTGTTTGAGTGAATCGTGCGTCGTGCACACAGGCCCGGCATTGGTTGCAGCTTCGCAGGTATGAAATGCCATAGGCTTGAAACCGATGGTGTTGGATTTCCCTGTTCTGTTTGTTGTGTATATCTTGCACTGTGTTGTTATTCTATTATGAATAATTAGGACGGAATTTAACAAATGCAAAATTGCTGTTCTTTTATTGTTTTAAATGTCTTTTAATTAAGATGATTTTTTTAACCAATTAATGAGCATATAGTTTTTCTCTACTCCTAATGGAGCAGTTGGTAGTCTCGCTTCCAGGTTTTTTTTCGTCCCACCACTTTCGTCCGGTTTTTTTCATAGGTTAACCGTCGTAGATTTTTTTTGATGCTGGTTTCCTATTCACCGGTTTATTTACCCCTCAGCTTTTTCCTTGCAAATCAGCACTTTCCAAACGTGCACGCAATCACGGATCTAAATTTGCTAACTTATCCAAATCAACCGATACCTTTCATTATTGCAAATTTCTTTAGGAAACAAATAATCTCTACTCCTAATGGAGCAGTTGGTAGTCTCGCTTCTAGGTTTTTTTTCGTCCCACCTACCATGGTTTTTTTCAACCGGTTTTTTTCATCACACCATCCCCACCCCATTCACCGCACGCAGTCAGGTTCCGTTTCCCCCCTTACATCCCCGATTCATGCATGACAATCAATTCTTTCCAAATGCAATCATGCATGACAATCAATTCTTTCCAAATGCAATCAATTAACTTAAGGTAACCAGACACAATCAATTCAATAAAACGGAGCGATATCTCGGGCTATTTTCTTGCTCCCGATATATAATGGCGCTAGCCAATCTGTTAACAAATCAGAACGAAACAATCACGTGTATGTAGGGAAGATAATCGTGGAGATTGCAGGGCAGTTAAGGCCGTGCGTCACATGCAGGAAGGATTTCCCGAGTTTGCGAAATAGAAGGAAATCTGAGTTGGTGAATAGTCTCCACGGTTTATTTTCGTCTGGCTTTTTTTCGTCTGGTTTTTCTTCGTCCCACCTCCTACCACCACCCTCTCACCGGTTTTCCTCTTTTCTCGTCTAACCGGCAACACCCAATGTATTTATGGTAATCAATCACAATTAATCCACGTATGGTAAGGCTATAAACTCAGAAATCTCAAATATGATTATTATAGTAATAAATCAATCCAGGTATGATAAGGTCATAACTCAGGAAATTTCGAATATGGTAATTATATGGTAATAAATCAATCCAGGTATGGTAAGGCTATAAATATAAAGGAAAACTATTCCTGTGAGACGTCTGATACATGGCTTTCGTCAGACCAGCATCTCACCAATCGTTTTGGAGCCATGCATCCAACAACGCCTGGCTGTACTATATAACCCCTCCGAATCATCCTCACATCCACCATCAAACCCTAATCAACTACCTCACCACCCTCTTTGCCACACCTGCCATCTGGATCCTCCTCGCTTCAACCTCGCTCTTATCGCACCACCGCATCTACGTTCGACCAGCAAGTCCTCCGGCAAGAACGCGCACACCATGTCGCCTTGATGGCTAAGCATGTGCATGTGTGCTTCATGCCCCCACAACGCTCCTTGTGATCCGTTCGTCGCGCTGCATCCCCAGTCTGGCCGGTGTGGCACTGTAATTTCGCCGGTGTGCAGACCTTCTTTCCTCTGCTACTCCTCGTCAGACATTTTGTAGTTGCTGCTTGAAGTGGTATGGTCGTGCTCTGCTCGTTGAAGCCTGTAATTGGGGCTGCATGCTATAGACTCATGAGGTCCCTTTTCAATGTGGCTGCGTGGTAGCGATGCTCTCATGCGTGCTATGTCGGCTGTGCTCCAGCGGTCTTGCATTTGGCCGGGTTGAAGGATACCATATGTGTAGTAGCCACACGTGATTTAGATTTTGTTCACATTGGAAGTACAAGTGGTTGTTGTTGGAAACAAATTTCCACTCTTTTGGAAGCATAATTTTCTTCGGTCAAAATGTATATGTAAAATTATTGGTATACTTTCTACCTGCAATTCAATTACCTATCAATGGTGTATCCAACATTGCTCTATTTTTCTTCCTACACATAAGAAAAATGCTTCTGTAATGTATGATGCAACTTCCACCAAATCGAGATGCTTCTACACCATTGAACAGAGTTTCGGTTACCATTTTTGTTCCGAAGCATCAAATGGTGAGCCATGAAGCTTTATTAAACATGTAAGGAAGCATGTGTCGTTTTGTGTTTTTCATATCAAAGCATCAATGAAAGGGCAATGAAGCAACTAAATGCCACATGGAAGGATCGCCACATGGAATTTGTTAACAGCTTATGGTAATATTATTAGTGGCATCTGCATATTTTCAATACGTATTTGAGAACCTATTTGATGTTTCCTGATTTCTATCGCATGAAAAATGCTTCCTTTGAAACAACCGGGGAGCGATTTGTTACCAGAAATAATGCTTCCACTGAAACAATCGGGGAGCGATTTGTTACTAGAAATAATGCTTCCATTGAAACAACCGAGGAGCGATTTGTTACTAGAAATAAAACGTGATTTATAGGATTTATTATATCCTACTAGAAATCAGGGATCAGTTTCCTAAAATGTTGGATGCGTCAACATTTGTAACTGTGCCCCTGATTAAGGAACATACTAATGCCCAAGCCACGTTTACAAGCCCATCACACGTATCGACATGAAATCCATCGTACAAGGAATCAGATTCCTAGCGCTTCCTCTTAAACAAACTTAAATTACCCCAAAGGCCGGCCAGATTAGCGTACACAGAAAAATCAACACCCTATGATCTGTCATCCAATTTTTCCTCCACGGTCGGCCATCCTATTCAAGGCCCCTGATGCAATGTTCTGCCAGCAATCCATGCGCACGTCCTACCTAGCGATTGAACGGGATCAAAATCTCCCTAGCCAAACACCGGTTGCCGCTGCACTTACATACTCCGCCCACGACGCCGTCCCACCAGCGGCGGTGACGCTAGCGATCGTACCGAGACATCATGGGAGATGGAGCTCCAGGCCATCAAGGACTCCTACACTGGCGTGTCCAAGCCGCCTCCACGACGGAGCCAAACCGCCGTACCTATTCAGACTCAAGAACATGGTGCGCCTCGCCGGTATGGATCATCTCGCCTCCCACTTGCCAAGGTATAGCAGCCCTCTTCTTTTCCCTTTCCCAAGAACACATCGATGCACTTTTAACCTCTATATCCATCTACCTGATGTACTTGTGTGTCGCTCGCCGGGAAACAAACTACTTGGTGAATCCCTGATGCAAACAATTTTATTCAGTGCTAACTAGGAGCTATTGTCTACATGTGCATCAGGTAATACAAGTAGTTGTACGGGGTTCATAAAGGAATCGAGCTTCTCATCTTTGACGATTAACAGATGAGGCACAGGGTACACATGACGGATCTACGAACTACAACTGACAACACATGGACGGCCAAAGGCTGTTGCATCCGCCGACCAACCACTACCCTTAATCAAGCACAAGGTACCTAGAACAACTCCCAAACACTCAATTCTTTGTAAGATTTTCAGTAGAAGCCTGTTGCAAAGTCAGGAATTTAGTTTATTTAATTATTAGTCAATGTTTGCCACAAAAAAATTCAGATTTTTTTATTTTTTTATCATTTTCTAAATTTTACTATTCATGCTGAGATCATATGAGGTCAAACTAAGATGGGGGATTTTGAACACTTTTTTCATGAATGCAAATGACATGCACATATAGGTGATGTTGTTCTGAACATTTTGATATCTTATTTGTATTTGTTGGAGTTAGTATGAATTCATTATGAAATTTTCAAAGTGTCGGTCAAACGGTGAAAGGGCAAAAGTATAAGAGGATGGAACGAGCTGGACAGAAACGAGGGTTTTTTGAATTTTGGGGCAAATCAAACAGGTGTGACACAACTAAGGGCTCAAATGTAGTTGTCCCTAAAAAATATATATTAGACAAAATTAATGTTGAATACTAGAATATATATGCCCCTTTAGTAATGTACGGGCAACACACAACAAAGGTGAGGTGGGCATCACCCGTTTCTAAAAGAAAGGGCTCCAGCTAGCGAGAAATATCCCGCTGCAGCCGGAAGCCGTGCGGGAAAGATAGGGTCCGACAGAAAAAGGAGAAGGGTGTGTCATGGGATAGGTTTTTGTGTTCAGCCTGCGTATTGGAGATATATAGCATGGCCCATAGTCCGGACAATCACATTTCTCCCCACATATGATCTGGATTGGGGGATCTCCGACTGTCTAGATGGTTGAATTTCGAGGAGCCTCAAACACGCCATAATGTATGAGGGAGAAATAAGCTTCAACCTTAGAGGTGACCTTAATCATTTGTTTGATTCATTTATGTATGCATTATAGCCCGTAGCAACGCACGGGCGTTCTACTAGTAAAATTTAATTAATGTGCATAGCTACATACTTGGAGTATTGATCTGGAACATTTCTAGAATTTCCCTGAATTGTGAAACCTGTGAGGTTAGATCTTGGCAGTGTTCAGTTTTCGGCCACCATCATATGTGCATTTGTTTTCTTACATCCAAAAGAATTCATATATAAGGGAATGTGCAGAAATAACGATACAAAATAGTTTGATTTACGACCTAAAGCTGAATGTACTTCCTTCAAAAATCAAGGATGTAATCCTGCGTGAACTTGTAATTCACATTCTGTTGGTTCATAACAAGCAAGCTCCGCTCCTCCGGATTCCCATCCGCTTGAGCCCACGGATGGTGCTGGTATCTCCTCAGCATCTCCAGCCTCTCCGCAACCTCCTTCATCGTCGGCCGTTCCTCCCCACTCATGTTCAAGCATCTTATCACGAGGTGCGTGATCTCTTCGAGCACTTCGATTCTCATCTCATCCCTCACTTGTCTGTCCAGAAGCTCTTGGTGCTGACCTACCTTCGCTGCCGTCATGAAGCATAAAACAAGGCTTCTATCTTTTGCCGACCCGTCCAAGTACAATGCCTTCTTCCTTGTCAGAAGCTCCAATAGGACGACGCCAAAGCTGTACACATCACTCTTGTCAGTCAGCAAGCATGTTATTAGGTATTCCGGATCAAGGTAACCACAAGTTCCTTGCACCAGCGTTGCAATCGTGGCCTCATCAGTCGGTGCCAATTTTGATGCTCCAAAATCTGAAACTTTTGCTGTGAGCTTGTCATCCAACAAAATGTTTGCTGTCTTGACGTCTCCATGAATGATTGGCGGCGAGGCCGAAGAGTGCATGTACGCCAATGCCTCGGCTGACTCTACTGCTACCCGAAGACAGGTGCCAAAAGCTCTGTCGGAGTTGATGCCCTTGCCACCATGGATGTATTGGTCGAGGGTGCCATTTGAGACGAACTCGTAGACCAACATGGGCACTTCTGCTTCGAGACAGCATCCGAGCAGCTTGACGACATTCCTGTGGTTGATCTGGGAGAGGATGAACATCTCCCTCGCGAATTCTTTGGTCTGGGCCTCTTCCATCATCTTTGACTTCTTGATCGCCACCACTGTCTTGTCCTCAAGGACACCCTTGTAGACAATGCCGTGTCCTCCATGGCCGAGAACACGGTCGGCTGCAAAGTTTTTGGTCGCTTTCTCCAGCTCTTCCTTGGAAAAGATCTTGAACCCACCAGTGCCTTTGCTATTGCCATTGTAGTTATGTATTTGCTGCTGCAGGAAGAGGCCTCCATTTAGCTCGAAGAACTTCTGCTTTGTTCTGATAAGCTTCCTCTTCTGGAGTCCCAAGTAGAGCCAGAAGCACATGAAAAATGGCAAGAGCACTCCAAGGCTGATTCCTGAGTATGATGAGGCATTGCCATTAGTTTTCCAGCAGCAACCAAAGGAGCAAAAATTGCAGGATTATATGTTTACCTGTAACCACTTTCACGGCTAAAGTGAAACTGTCCTTTGGCTGGCAACCATTCTTCACGGTGGCATCTCCACTAGTCCCAGGAGGGCATTGGCAAGTGTAGCTTCCGGGCGTATTTGTGCAGACCCCGTAGCATGCGTGTTTTCCTTTCTGCTCACACTCATTGACGTCTTCAGTTAAATGGCAGAAGGACAGTAGACATTTGTCAGAGCACGAGACAAAATTGGCAGAAGGACAGTAGACGTTTAACAAAAAAAGTTAAACTGGACAATTTTTGAGTAATGGTCCAGTTGTATCAGGATCAAATATCGGTGAATACCTTTGCATCCATCGTATAAATAGGGGTTGCCCTCATATCCCTTGGAGCAGCCGCAACGGTACCCAGCGCCGTTTTTGGAGTTGATGCACTTGCTGAGCGTGCTCCGGCATGCATATGTGGTTGCATTCTTCCTAGCGCCTCTGCAGTTTTCCACGTTCCGGACAGCCCAGTCGAGCACGACAGGCACGGCGAAGTCGTCGGTCTTGTTGTGGTTCTTGCTGGTGTAGTTGGTATGTAACCACGTCGCCTCCACCAAGAACACATACCGGCAGGTCACACTGTTTACATAGATGATCAGGTCTCCCTTGCTCTTTGGGATGTCGAGCAGGTACGGCTGATAGTAGTCGACAGCAGGGGGTATCATGCTCTGGCAGCAGCCGACACCTGTGCAGGATCCTGATGCAGTGGATTTCCGTGGCCGGCACACGGCCATGCAGCCACTGACGTAGTAGCCGTCAATGCCGTTGAAGTAGCCGAGGTTGGGGCAGCCGAGCACGACGAGGCGGTTCTTGGTGTCCGAGAAGAGGAGGTTGGTCCCAACGAGTGGTACAGCTACCGGGCCGCCTTGGCTGATGACGCTCCCCTTGCTGTTATAGCAGCGGCGAGTCGCGTTGAGGGAGGCATGGGCCTCGCCGGTGCTAATGGATAAGCTGGTGATCTGGATGCCGTAGTCAGCTACGGTGAGCCGTGGGACTGGTAAGGAGTCGTCACACAAAAGCTGGAAGCCACCTCGGCCATCGTCGCGGAAGCAACCCGCGCCGATGCCAAAGGGGTAGGTAATGGTGATGTTGCCGCACTTGTCACGGCAGCCCGGCTGCACAACATGTTCCGGCGGCGTCTGCTGCTGCTGCTGCTGCTCCTGAGCTGAGACTCGAGTTACTGGCAGTAGCAACAGCAGCACGACCAGTGTCATCGCCATTCTTGCTCTGCTGGTCTGTTAAGAGACTGTTGAGGAAGTGGGAAGTGTTAGCTGCTGAAGAATCATGCTAGTCCATATATGCACGCGGATGCTGAAGATTCAGTCACCAGCTAGGACCAGATCAACTATACCCAGCATTAGTGAATGATGTTCTCGTCAGGTGTTATCCAGAGTGCACACGGATGCTGAAGGCCTGAAGATTCTGTCACTAGCTTGGACCGGGTCCGGTCAATCATACCCAGCATTAGTAAATGATGTTCTCATTATGTGTTATCCAGGGCGCTGAGGCTAACGACAGCTTTGCCATTTAGCCAATGTCAGAACTTGTTTAACTAGGCCACTCTTGGCAGAGCCATGCATGTCGCCACATGTCAGTCGAAAGAGTTTCTGATGGTTATTCTGAAATTTTGGCATCTGTACCCAGCTGAAAAGAGAAGTTTTGTCTTGGAGATGCTAGTGGGTTAGTGGTTAATTGAACTGCCGGTGATCATTGGCTCTTTCATTATCCATGTAATGTAGTTGATTGAGTTTACTATGGCCACTTGATGGCCTGATCCAGTCCAGCACATGAGACATCACTTGGAACGAACAGCTGCTCACTTACAAAACTAGCATAGCTGTTTAGTTTCTTGTGACAATATTTTCTCCGCACTTTTTACTTGTGAGAAGCTTCCTGGTTCAGTATCTACAACTCTAAGAAAATCACAGCTCTAAATAATGTACTCACTTAACCATTTGTAAGAACATTTGTTGCACGCACAAAACTCATGTTTCTTCTTACTGACTTTGACAGGAGAAATGAACATGAACAGGGGACTGTCAGCGAGCAGAAATATTTCTGCCCCTCTGAATCTCTTATCCCGTCGAGAGTGCACACAGGCTCGGCAATGGTCGCAGGTACAAAATGCTTTAGGCCTGAAACCAGTGAATTGGGCTTGGGCATCCATATGATAGGCAGTGCGCTGGATCAGTGGAAGCAATCCGTCCGAGCTTCTTTCACAGGCCGAACTCAGGCGATCTTCTTTACCATCTCAGTTCAGGTGGGAAACAAATGATCTCATCATATTCAGACCATACAGCCGCATCCACATTCTTATTCAATTTATTGTTTGTGGGAACTTGCATTTCTGTTTTTACTTTGAAAAGAATTCAAGTCTTTTTTTTTTTGAATATGAAAAGAATTCAAGTCTTGGTATACTTTTGCAAAAGAACAACACACACTAGCCAGTGGCAGAACTTGTTTAACCAGGCAGCTCTTGGGAGAGACATACATGTCGCCACATGTCGGCACAAAGAGTTTCCAATTCTTATTCTGATTTTTTGACATGTGTACCTACCTGAAAAGAGATATTTTGTCTTGTAGACAGCTAGTGTAGTAGTGGTTAACTGAACTGCCGGCGGTCATTGTCTCTTTCATTATCCTTATAATGTAGTCGACCGAGTTTACTACAGCCACTTGATGACCTCATCCAGTCCAGCATGTGAGACATCACTCGAGACGAACTTGTGCTCGCTTACAAAACTTGCATCGTCGTTTAGATATTTTTTGTGACTGTTGGAACTTTTTGTTGTGAGAATCTTCCTGGTTCAATATGTACAACCCTAAGAGAATCACATGTCTAAATAATGCGCACTCACTTAACCTTTTGGTAAGGAAATTTTGTTGCATGCATAAAACTCATGTTTCCTCTTACTGACCTGAACAGGAATAATGAACATGGACTCCTACCGGTCAGATTCTGTCCCTCTGAATCTTTGACCCCGTCGAGGGTGAGCACAGGCTTGAAAGTGGTCACAGGTACGTAATGCTATAGGCTTGAAACCGATGAACTGGTGCTGGATTTCCTTGTTCTGTTTGTTGTGTGTATCTTGCTGTGTATTACCATCCTGTTACGAGTTTAAATCTTTTGTGGGTATTACGAGTTTAATAGGATGGATTTTAACAAGAGCAAACTTGCAGTTTCTTTTAGCACAACCTCAGCAGTGTGGGGCAATGTTTGTCGATCGAAACGCACGTCGAGCCTGTTCAAGTCTCGTTTGATGTTTTCTGAAACTGTTTGTGCTTTCCCTTGACAACAATTCATCACACTGACCCTTTCTCAAGAACCGAGCTAGTTCGATCTGAATGCTCACTGTTTTCTCCCATTATTACAACTGATGCTGCAACCTTACAGTTACTGAACGAAGGCGGCATCATACTTAGTAACTTAAACATAGCAGATTGACGCTGCCTTACTTATTGAACAATATATATAAAGCATCCTTGAACACTCCGGCACCTTTATTCATTGATAGACCTAGTGATGGTCCATGCCGTGGCATGCTCACTCTGTGATGTGATCTCTTCAGGCAGCGTTTGGAGGAAGGGGTGGGAGCTTGAACCCTGGCACAGGCGCGATGAACTTGCGTTCCTCCACGCCGCCGGCCCGGCTGCTTTCCTCGCCTGATGACAAACATATGAAGTTAGCACATAGCAATGCAGCAGCTAGCACATACAGTATTAAGTTACAGAAGAATCATCTAGTACCTTTTTGCACCCAAGAAATGGTGCGGCGGCGGGCAGCAGAAGCAGCAGTCTCTGATGGCTGCATGCCCACTAGGGGGCCCTCCCTTCATGCCTTGCATCCAGCCGAGGCTCCGCCGGGCGCGCCCGAGCGGCGGCAGAATGGTGTGGCCATGGACAAGATCGCCGGCCACAAGGACGAGCAGAGCCACAGCCATGAGCGCTGTTTTGGATGCCATTCTTCTTGCCGTCTCTGCTCCTCTTTTGCTAGCTGCTGGATCTACCCCAAACACGTGTAGTCTGCACTGCAAATGGCCGAGGAATGCAGATATATAGCACAAGTGTGGATCGGTGCATGATTACTGCTACTACTCTGCAGACTCGTAGGTTAGGCCTTTGATGAGACACGATGAATGCGTAGCAAATGAATGGAGGAATCGGTATCTTGTAGCGCCGCAAAGGAGGTTTCCATCGTACACGTTGTCAGGTCAGCCCCAACACACACACACAAAAACAAATGTTTTTTTTGCGGGGAACACAAAAACAAATGTTGTCATCATATTCGGACTTTGCAACTGCTTCTACACTCTTGTTGGATCTAGTGATCTGCTGGAATTTGCATATATCATTTTAAAAAGAAATTTAAATCACATGAAAAATAGACCAAAAAGACCGACCGTATACGGCTCGGCTCGCATTTGCGCTGCGTGTAATGCCTCAACGTCTAGACGACGCTCGTATAGACTCGGCTCGCATTTGCGCTGCGTGTGTGCCTCAACGTCTATACATCGTCGCTCGCTCGTATAGACTCGGCTCGCATTTGTGATACGTGTGTGCCTCAACGTCTATACGTCAGTCTTTTGCCTTGCAAACCCGATTAGCCAGCGCTAACTAGCCCGTGATTGCTTCCTCGGCTATACTTACGGCAAGAGCAGCCTAATTAAGCCGCACATCTGATTTGTAAGCGAGCCGTGCGGGACTATTAAGCAGCTATAAGTGCACGCGGCCTAATTTAAGCAGCAATAATACTACACGTACACGATCTTCATACAAACCTTTACAGGCAGACGACGTGGCCTCATCTAATTGCCCCCCCTCCCCCCCTGATTTTCAGTGGTGGGCCCGCCCTCCTAATTTAATCTCTGCCAATCACAACGTAAGCAGCGTGGGGTTCATGTTCAAGTCTCATTTGATGTTTTCTGAAATCGTTTATGCCATGACCAATCGTCGTTCTTTCCCTTATTGACAGATCACCACGCAGACTCTTTCTGTAGAACTGAGCTAGATCAAGCACAATGCTCACTGTTTTATTCCGTTACTGCGTACAGCTGATGCTGGCTTACAATTACTGAACAAAGACGGCATCATACTTAGTAGTAACTTAAACATGGCAGATCAGTGCCGCCTTACTTATTGAACGATATATAAAGCATCCTTGAGCACTCCTGCACCTTTGCTGCCATGGCATGAGTGCATGCTTGCCCTGTGATGTTATCTCTTCTCAGGCAGCGTTCGGAGGAAGGGGCGGGAGCTTGAAACCAGGCACGGGCGCGATGAACTTGCCTTCCTCCCTGCTGGCGTCCCGGCGGCTTTCCTCCCCTGATACAATGTGAGTAAAAAAATCAACATGAGGGCACATTCAAGAATATGTGCATCAGGGAACATGACAATAGGTAAATTAGTTACCAATGCATTCCACTGTTTGCTTCTCTTTCTTTGACTCTTTCTGTAGTATCATAAGAAAATCATGAACGCAATGATGCAGGGTTGCCTACCTTTTTGCACCGCAGAAATGGCGCGGCTGCGGGCGGCAAAAGCAGCAGTATCTGATGTCTGCATGCCACTGGGCGGCCCTCCCTTCATGCCTTGCATCCAGCCGAGGCTCCGCCGGGCGCGTCCGAGCGGCGGCAGAATGGTGTGGCCGTGGACAAGATCGCCGGCCACAAGGACGAGCAAAAGCACAGCCATGAGCGCTGTTTTGGGTACCATTTTTGCCCGTCTCTCTCTCTCTCTCTCTCTCTCTTTGGCTAGCTGGTCGATCTATCCAAAATACCAGTCTGCTGCACTGCACATGGCCGGGCAGTGCAGATATATATGTAGCACAAGTATCGATCGGTGCATGAGCTGCTAGGCAGACAGAGGAGATTACTGCTAGTAATCTACAGGCTCGTAGGTAGGGTGGGTCTTTCATGAGACGATGAATGCGTAGCACGTGAAAGGAGGAATCGGTATCTTATACTACACGCACGGACGCACGATTGGTACTCTCTGTAACAGATTTATTCATTTTGCTCTGTATGTAGTCTATATTAAAATATTTAAAAATATTTATATTTAGAAATGAAGGGAGTAGATAGATCTCATCCAATTCGGACCATGTAACTGCTTCTACACTTTTTTTTTTTAGGATTTCTACACTCTTCCTCGATCTAGTGATCTGCTGAATTTGCATTTCTGTTGCTAACTCGAAATGAATTCAAGTCCTGTTACACTATTGCAGGAGAACGGCACATGGTACTATTAGAATGGACTACAAACTTAAAGTAAAGAGAAAAAATAATTATGTTTTTGTCCTCAAGTTTCCCAAAGGTGCAGACTTGATCTCTCAAGATTTTTTTGTTATACAATTGGTCCTTCAAGTCTTAAAACCTAATAAGTTTGGCCCAAAACCAGATTTTGAGCACGTTGAACGGGGTTGTTATGACCGGCTTGGTCTATTCTAGGAAGAGGCCCACCGGGCATTAGTATTAGGGGCTTGGCCCACAAGTTATCTTAGGCAAGTTATCTTAGAAAAGTTATTTTAGGCTAAAGTTATAAATACTCATGTAAGACATCGTTTTGAGGCAAGCAATAAAGACTATTATTATCTTTTGTTGCCCGGCTCCTAGAGGAGCCGGAAACCCTAGCCGCCGCAGCCAAGCCGCCGCCGCCCTCAACCCTAGCCGCGACGGCGCCCTGCCGCCGGCGCGCCTGTTCCTCGCCGCGTCCACTCCCTCCTTGCCCCTACAACCTACGCAGTAGAGCCGGTAGGAACCCTAGTCCTACCAATTTGGTATCCAGAGACACCAGGCCGATCATGTCACAATCTCCATCACTGCCGCCGCTACCATCCACCTCCACCCCGCTCTCGCTGCCGCCGGCCACTTCCACCGCGATGGCGGAGATCGCATTCGGCACCACCATCACCACCGCGACAGCGCCCATCATCATCACGGCGGACCCGCCTCCGCTCCTCTCGCCCGAGGAGGTGTCGGGCACCCTGCGGAAGCTTGTCCAGGCGGTCAGGGATATTACCCTCTACCTCGCCGGGAACCAACCCCCGCCACCGAGCGCCGGCACCACCGCCTACGGACCGCCGCCGCTACAGTGGCCCGCCCCGGCCTTCCAGGCGCCCTACGGAGGGGCGTCCCAGCCGCCGCTGCTGCTGCCGCACTACTCGGCTGCGGGACAGTCGTGGCCAGCATGGCCGGCCTCCACCGCGCCGCTGGGGGGCTGACCCAGCAGCTTCTTCCGGCGCCACCGCCGGCCCCCACACCGCAGGCGCTGGTGCAGCAACTCCACCAGGCGCCGCCGCCATCGACAGTACCACCACCCGCGCCTAGGGCTACGGGTCGGCCCCCGCACCAGGTGCAGTTTCCACCGTCACCATCGCCGATGCCCGCTTGGGCGACCGGCTCGTCTCCGGGCCCGGTCTACTCCACGGCGCCGGAACACCCGACGCCCTCCCTGCGGTTTGATCACCCCTCCAGCTCGGCGAACTACGCCCCGGCGCTTCCCGACCCAGCATACGCGCCGGCGGCGACTGCGGCCGCCCCCGGGCATGGCGGGCCGACACCCCCTCGCTTCGCCAAACTGGACTTCGCCACCTAAGAGGGCACGGAGGACCCCCTCAACTGGCTCAACCAGTGTGAGCAGTTCATTCGAGGGCAGCGGAAGCTCGCTTCGGATCGTACCTGGCTCGCGTCCTATCATCTTCGAGGCGCAGTGCAGACCTGGTACTACGCCCTCGAGCAGGAGAGGGCGGCATGCCACCTTGGGAGCGCTTCCGGGAGCTCTATCTCCTCCGTTTTGGGCCTCCTATCCGCGGGAGCCGACTGGCGGCCCTCGGCCGTTTACCGTTCACATCTACGGTGCAGGATTACGCCGACCGCTTCCAGGCCCTGGCGTGCCACGCGCCGGGCGTCTCCACGACCCCGCGCGCCGAGCTCTTTGTGGGCGGTCTGCCGGACCATATCCGCGTGGACGTCGAGCTCCGGGATCCCCCCGACCTCCAGACGGCCATGTACTACGCCCGAGCCTTCGAGCAGCGGGCCTTGGCACTGCAGCAGCCACTCGGACGGAGCTGCCGCCAGCCCAGTCGGCCAGCACCGACTTCCTCAGCCCCGGGTCGGCCTCTCCCAGCCGCGACGGTCACACCCCCGGCCGCCACACGACCCTTCCGTCGGCTGTCACCGGCCGAGCAACAGGAGCGTCGCCGTCAGGGTCTCTGCTTCAACTGCGATGAGCCCTACACGCCGACCCATGTCTGCCCCCGCCTCTTTTATTTAGAGACGGTCGACTACATCGAGGAGGACGACTCGCCCGACCCGTTACATCCGCCTGCGGCGACCGAGGACGCGGCCGCGGATTCCGCAGCGACGGCGTGCGTCGCCTCCCTTCACGCCCTGGCCGGCATCCGGGGCGAGCGGACCATGCTGCTGCCCGTGATGATCCATGGCGAGCGACTGGTGGCCCTGCTGGATACGGGCTCCACACACAACTTTCTGCCCGAGTCGACCATGCGTCGGCTAGCCCTCCCGACGGCGGGCGGGGAGCGCCTGCGGATCACAGTGGCGAACGGCGATCGCCTCCGGTGCCCTGGGCTAGCCCGCGACGTTCCCATCTCCATCGGCGGCGAACACTTTTCCATCACCTGTGCAGGGATCGATCTGGGCTGCTTCGACTTCATCCTCGGGGTGGACTTTCTCCAGACCCTCGGCCCCATCCTATGGGATTTCGACGCGCTCACGATGACATTCTGGCGGCAGGGCCGCCACATCCGGTGGGAGGGCATTGGGGGCGCCGCGCCTGCCGTGCCACACCTCCAGCTGGCTGTCGCGTCCTCGGAGGCCGAGCACCCCCTGCTGGATTCTCTTCTGCAGCAGCACAGCGACATCTTCGACGATCCGCGGGGTCTTCCGCCTGCCCGGGTGTACGACCATCATATTCACCTCGTACCAGGTTCCACTCCGGTGGCGGTGCGGCCCTACCGCTACCCCCAGCTGCAGAAGGATGAGTTGGAGCGCCAGTGTGCCCTGATGCTCGCCGCAGGCATCATCCGGATCTCCACGTCGCCCTTCACGGCGTCGGTGCTTCTCGTCCATAAGTCAGACGGCACATGGCGCTTCTGCATCGACTACCGCGCCCTCAACGCACTCACGCTCAAGGACAAGTTCCCTATACTGGTGGTCGACGAGCTCTTGGATGAGCTCCATGGGGCACGCTTCTTCACCAAGCTCGATCTCCGGTCGGGCTATCATTAGGTGCGCATGCATCCGGACGACATCGCCAAGACGGCGTTTCGCACCCACCATGGCCACTTCGAGTTCTTGGTGATGTCTTTCAGCCTCGCCAACGCCCCAGCGATGTTCCAGGCCCTGATGAACGACGTCCTTCGACCCTACTTACGGCGGTTTGTGCTTGTTTTCTTTGATGACATTCTTATCTACAGCGCCTCCCTGGGCCGAACATCTCCAGCACGTCGCCATCGTCTTCAACGAGCTTCGGGCGCACCACCTCCACCTTAAGCGCTCGAAGTGCTCGTTTGGGACGCCTACCGTCGCCTACCTCGGCCATGTCATCTCGGCCGACGGGGTGGCTATGGACGCCGATAAGGTGGCGGCCGTCTCCGCCTGGCCGATGCCTCACTCGCCGGGGCACTCCGCGGGTTCCTCGGACTCGACGGCTACTACCGGAAATTTATCTGGGAGTTCAGACTCATCGCGGCGCCCCTCACGCGGTTGCTTCACCGCGACGCCTTCACCTGGGACGACGAGGCGACGACGGCGTTCGAGGCCCTCAAGGGGGCCCTCACGACGGGCCCCGTCCTCCAGATGCCCGACTTCGACCGCCCGTTCGTGGTGGACTGCGACGCCTCGGGCGCCGGGTTCGGCGCCGTACTTCATCAGGGCGATGGGCCCCTCGCTTTCTTCAGCCGGCCTTTCGCTCCGCGCCATCTTAAGTTGGCAGCTTACGAGCGGGAGCTCATTGGCCTCGTCCAGGCCGTGCGTCATTGGCGGCCATACTTGTGGGGGCGGACCCTCCACATTCGCACGGACCACTACAGCCTGAAATTCTTGCTGGATCAATGGCTGTCGACCGTTCCGCAGCACCAGTGGATCAGCAAGCTCTTCGGCTTCGACTTCTCCGTCGAGTATCGGCCGGGCCGTCTTAACACCATGGCCGACGCGCTGTCCTATCGCAATTCCGACCTCGCGCCACCCGCCGACGCATCCACCGGGACGGCCCTGTGCATCCGCTCCGGGCCATCGTTCGGTCTCTTTACCGACATTCGACGCGCCACTGCAACGGCAGATGACGCCGCACTTCTTCAGCAGCAGCTCGCGGCCGGCGACTTGGAGGAGCCCTGGCGCTTCTCTGACGGACTGCTCCTCCATGGGCGCCGGATCTTTGTTCCGGCGCATGATGATCTCCGTCACCAGGTGTTGCAGCTCGCCCACTCGGCGGGCCATGAGGGTGTGCAGAAAACCCTCCATCGTCTTCGCGCCGACTTCTACATCCCTGGCGATTGTGCCCTGGTCCGCGACTGGGTTCGGTCTTGTCAAACTTGCCAGCGCAACAAGACAAAGACCCTGAGGCCGGCGGGGCTCCTTCAGCCCTTGGAGGTGTCGTCTCAAGTTTTGGCAGATATCTCCTTGGACTTCATCGAGGGCCTTCCCAAGGTGGGGGGCAAGTCGGTCATCCTCACGGTGGTCGATCGCTTCTCTAAG